GGCGTGAAGCAGACGGCGGAGTGTGCCGGAGGAAATAAAGATGGTCTCTGTTGGGTCCCGGGTTCAAACCATCCCGTCACCTTCGCACGCTCCCACGCTGGCCTGGGCCATTATGAGGCAGTCAACACCACCAGGCCAAACTATGACCTGATCGTCAAGCACCAGGTCACCAGAGTCGTCTACCCGAATGGCAACCCGAATGACGGCCCACCCCTTGTCGAGGTCAAGTCCCTCGTTGATGGCCATCTCTTCAACGTAACCGTAGACGCCGAAGTGATCCTCTCTGCCGGAGCTCTCTCCACGCCAGCCATTCTCCAGAGAAGCGGCATCGGCCCGGCCAATTTTCTCAGCACCGCAGGCATTCCTCTAGTCAGGGACCTACCCGGTGTCGGCTCAAACCTCCAAGACCACTCGGGGCCGGGTATCGAGCTTAACTGTGAGTCGCCTCTTGTCCCCCTCTCCCCTCTCTTTACGCCTTCCTTCAAGACCAAAATTTTGTTCTAACAAAGCCATCCAGTAACCAACCCGGGCAATCTCTCCCCCTCCCCGTCCGAAATGTCCAACCCAGACTTCGTAGCCGACGCGGTTGCCGGGTTCAACTCGATCCCCGCCACGGGCCCGTACACCCTCTCCGGGTCCAACTCGGCCGTCTTCGTCTCCCTGCCAAATGTCACATCCGCTTACCAGACCATCATTTCCAAAATCCGCGCCCAGGCCGCATCCGACTCGGTTGCGTCCTCCTTCCTCCCGCCCGACTACCGAACCTCGCCCTCCATGGTCCGCGGCTACAAGCGCCAGCTCTCCCTCCTGGCCGACCTGCTGTCCAACCCGCAGTCCCCGAGCATCGAAGTCCCCTTTGGGACGGGGACCGTGTTCAAGGCCGTTCACCTGCACCCGCTCTCCCGCGGGACCGTCCGGATCGACCCGTCTTCTCCGCTCTCCCAGGCGATCCTCGACTACCGCACCGGAACTAACCCCGTCGACTTTGACATCTACCTCGCCCACATGGAGTACATGAGGAAGCTGGTCAACACCACCACCTTTCAGCAGAGGGGCGCGGTGGAAATCGCACCCGGCCCTGCGACGACTGATCTGCTGGGGGCCGTCAAGGACTCCATGACTTTTAGTTTTATGCATCCCTGCTGCACGGCCGCCATGATCCCAGAGGATCTTGGAGGTGTGGTGGGCACGGATCTGAAGGTGCACGGTACCGAAGGCTTGAGAGTGGTGGATATCAGCGTCTTGCCGTTTTTGCCAGGGGCGCATTTGAGTTCTACCGCTTATGCTATTGGTGAGAAGGTCAGTTTAATTTTTTTTTTTTCTAATTGTGTGCGTGCGTGTTTGTATTGCTGTTATCCTTTTCTTTTTCTTTCTTTTTCTTTTTCTTTTTCTTTTTCTTTTTCTTTTTCTTTTTCTTTTTCTTTTTCTTTTTCTTTTTTTCTTTTTTGGTCTAGAAGTTTTGTTAGTGTTTTGTTTCAGCTCTCTCAGCCAAAACCAAGCTTTCACTTTTCTGACCCGCTGAGTTTCTTGTTTCGTTTCCTCTTTTTTTTTTTTTTTTTTTTTTTTTCCCTGTCACGGGCGCGAGCTGTCCGAACCCGAACATTTCTTGTGGCGGTGACTTTGATGTGTTGGCTGATTGAAAGAATGTGCCAATTCGGGGTGCTAACTCGATTCGTCGTAGGCTGCGGATATCATCATTGAAGAATTGTCAAGATGCGGCAAGGGGAAGGCCAAAGCCAAGGGCAAGGGTAAGGGGAGGAGGGATTGTTAGATGGGTACATAGCATAGAATGGAAACATGCAATTTTGGTGAGAGGTTGAATCACCGATTTCCGTGCTTTTCCAACAAAAGGTCACAGCGTTCACTAGCTCCGCTGCGTCTGAACGGGGGGATCCATTCCCTCCCCCCCCCCCTTCCCCCACCCCCTGGCGTCCCGTTGCCCCGGTTGTCTTGGTGCTGGGGGGCCCCCGTAAATTAGAATGAATTAAGTGTAGTCTTGCGATGTTTGCAAGGGACCGTGACATAACGAACGTCCCGCGTTCCAAAGAAATATCCTTGACCGAATATTGCACCTGCACGCAATGTCCTCCTGTTCCTCGACGTGATTCATCTTTTATTTTATTTTTTCCTTTACTTAACCTACACAGTATACAATTTTTTTATTTTTTTTTGTTGTCACGGTCTTGACTGTTTGTAGTTTACGATTACATGTGGAAAGACGCAAACGCCAAAATCAGAGGTGGTGATGTTTCTTTTTGAATCTAGTTTTGCAGTCAGGCCATTGAGGAGGCGTTTTCTTTTTTCGCATTTGGCACACCACTTCAATCTAATTATTTGAACCTTCCAATCGGTACTTTACATGACCACTGACCACTGACCATTGGCCAACCCCTGACAACAAACATCCTTGACCTTATGCACCCTAGTACATAGCACATTCCGATCCGTTTTCATGAGTTTATTGGTAGATTTCCCCAGAATCATGATTCACAGGTTGCCGGCTGGTTACCGAAATACCTGTATGCAGGACTATGAGATTTCTTTTCTCAATCTTTCCAAAAAAAAAAAAAAATTAATTTTTAAAATCTACATCATCCTAGCAAATACTCCCCTGAAAGGTTTTGTTTTTCTTCCTCTTTTAGTTTCAACCTTTTTTTGTGCTGATATCATCTCGACTTCCACTCTTTCCAAAAACTAAAACCTTTCTCTTCAACCTCGGTACCTTATATATTCCATCCCTCCTTCGGTAGGGGTAGCCAGGAGGAGGAATAAGAACAAGAAGAAAGCCAAGGAATGGCAAACCGTCCTCCTCGCCCATGATATCAACCAACAACTTCCGTCAAAGAAGATGGCCGCCGCTCACCCGACACCGGGGGATCGAGGCCCAATGATCCTCGGTCTCGTCTGGTCCTTTCACGTCTTGACTCTGGCAGTCTACATCATCCGCATCCGGACCCGTCTGACTCCGAAGTTCGCCTTGACGGCGGCCGACTACACCATTACTTGTTCAGTTGTACGTCTTGCTCCTGGTTACTTCACTTCCACTTCAGAGTATACACCTTTATGAAAAAAAAAAAAAAAAAAAAAAAAAAAAAAAAAAAAAAAAAAACTCGAGCACAATTATCATGAGAATTCTTTCCCCGGACACATTTCTGTTCAAAACCCCGCTTCATATGTCTTTCTCATACGGAACCTCGTCTAACAGTCCTCCTCACACGTTTCCCATTTCCTTATTCTAGATCCTAATGACTGCAGCCCTAGCCTTCACCACCCTCGCCGTCCACAACGGGTTCGGCAAGCACACGGCGGACATGCCCATGTGGGGCATAATGAAGGTCGGCCTGCAGCTGTTTGCCGTGTTCATGACGGGGGTCCCCGCGGCCTGCTTCGCCCGGATATCCATCGCGTGCCTGCTCCTGCAGATAACCGTGCCGGGCTCGGGCAGCGACAGCAACGTCAAGTGGCGGGTCCTGATCTGGGCCACGATCGCCCTGCAGGCGGGGTTCATGCTCTCGTACGACGGCGTCCAGCTGTCCCAGTGCGGCGGGCTGATCGCGAGGACGCAGGGGCCCGACGCGCTGGGGCGCCAGTGCCTGGCTCCCGCGTCGGTTTGGGTGTTTAATTACGTCGGGATCGGTTAGTATCAAGCCCGTTTATATATATATATATATATACATATATATATATCCACTCATGAAGTAATGTTTGCTGATTTGAAACGTATAAAAAAAATATAGGAATCGCAATATTCAGCGACCTCGTTTGCGCCCTGATACCAATCTGCCTGATCCGCAAGCTCAGCAGGTCGCCCGTCGAAAAGTTCCTCATCACCGTGCTGCTTACCCTGTCCCTGCTGGCGGCCGTCTGCGGCGTTCCGAAGCTCTACTACACCGTCACGTACGACTTTGCCGACCCGGACGGCTTCTACCGCATGACGCTGCAGTTCGTCTGGACGAGGACCGAGGAGGCCCTCATCGTCATCGCCGCGTGCGCGCCGCTCGTCCGGGTCCCCATCGAGCGGGCCCTGCAGAGGTGGTTCGGCATCGAGTCGCCTTTTTACCCGCCGCCGCCGGCGAGGGATCTCGAGTCGGCCGTTTTTGCCACCGGGAATGTCGGCGGTGGGGAGGTGATGGTGGAGGCTCGGGGGGTAAGGTGGCCGCCGTCGCCGTCTGATGGCGGTTCCTCCGGGGTTGGTGGTGATTCAATGCCTCGGCGGGGTCAGGTTGAAGCCGCCGCGGGGAAGGGGACAGAAAAAGTGATTGATGAAGAGGTTGGGAAGGGGGAAACAGTGCTGATCGTGGAGAAGACGAGGAGGAGCCTGAGTGCCGCGACTAGTACCGCTGAGCTTTTACGGCCGGTGTCGGGGTCTGGTTCCGGTGGGAGGTGACTGTGATGACACGAACATGATGAATACCGATTTGGAAAAGGATATTTTGGGAGGGAAAAAAATAAAAATAAAAATAAAGAAAGCTTATTTTTAATTGTATGGGTTCTGAACTAGTATTTTGTATTTTGTAGTATGAAAGGACGGTTTTCAACATTGGACGGAGCAGGGAAACGAAACGAAACTTTGACAATTTGAGATATGAAACATGCTAGCTAGCGCTGGAGGTTTATCTTTCCGCTCATTTCTTTGTCTTGTCATTATTTCCTTGTTGGATATCATGTTGGCTTAAGTTGGCTTCTGGGGCGGCGGCACCAGCTTACACACTCATCACAAGTACCTATCTAACACAAAAGGTTAGATCTGGGATTGAAAAAGATCAGATGATCTTTTTTTCTCACATTGATGATTCTCTTGTTTACATCAATCACCGCATTCACAGGGCTCTCATTTACATCTTTACTCATATGTACTGTACAGTCCTCATCAAGTTCATCATGTTACCTCATATTTTGCTATCTAGTACGCCGCCAGTTTACAACACAAAAATATACAACTACCCACGCCTCTGTCAACTGGCCACACGCCTCAGCAAAAAAACAAAATCTCTTTTCCAGGGCTCAATCGGGGATCGAACCCGAGACCTCGCACATTCTTTGAAACTCTTCTGTTTTTGGCAGGAGTTGGGGTGTTCAAGAAAACCCCGAAGCACGAATCATACCACTAGACCATTGAGCCGGTACAGAGTTTATTCTTTTTTTTTTTTGTTTCTGTTGGTTGCAAATGCGGGTAAAATGGCTTATGTCTGGTGGGGAATAGTTTTGGGGGTGGCACAGTACCGTGTAAGCGAGCGGTGTGTGAGTCAATGGAGAGAGTGTTTTTGTTGCTTTTGGAGTCCATCGGAAAAGAAAACGAAATACGCGAAGAAGTCGGTGCCAGAAGGACAAATTTGCAAAAAACAACAAAAAAAGAAATTACAATAAAAAGAAAAAGATACAAGTTGTAGTGTCTTGTGGTTTGGGGTTTTACAATAAAGGGAAATTAAAGTCATGGCGGAGTGTCATGGATGGTGTCGGGTTCAAGTCAGGGGGTCAGTCCGTAATACGCATCTGCTGGCTCTTGCCAATGTGGAGAGGCAACTCCGGCTTCGTTCCAACAAGACTGTCGCACCAAAAAGGAAGAAAAAAGTCAAAAGAGAGTGACATGAATTACCAAAGCTTCAAAATTATGATAGGCCATTGCTAAATAGGGGTATTGATGATAACACTTTCCCCAAAACACAAACAACTCGTCATCATCCAGTGTCTCCCCGATCGAGCCCGCAGAATACCGTCCCATTACCCCCCTCCAGCCCAAAAGTTGTAATACAAAAATGACTTCGACAATAAAAATGGTATCATACAATTGCTGACAAAACCTTTTTCCATTAACCCCTTTACCTTTCCTCCTTATCTTTCCTTCATCAAGTACGCCCACCCCCTTTTCCTATGCCTCTGTTCCACCACCATTTTGCCCTTCGTCTGCCGGCCCATTCTGCTCCGGCTTCTTTTCTTCCACCTTGGAAGCGTTATTCGCACTCGCAAGGAACAAGTCTCTAAAGGCAGCATTGCTCTTCTTCTGTACCGTCGGCCTAGCGGCTCCTGTGCCGTTGACCTCCTTCTTCGGGGCGACTCCGCCGACAAACCCTAACCCTCTCTTCCCCCCTGCTCCCAGCACTTTTGGACGTTGGATCCTGGGCGGGGGAGGCATCAGCTCTGCTGCCGTGGGCTTCTTCTTCTGCTGAGTGGGGAGCGAGACGCGATCCATCCTCTCGAGCTCTGGTCTCTTCTCCACCTTGGCCTTGAACATTTCCGACACGTCATCGACGGCGCGCAGTTTCTGACCGCTCTCGCCGTCCATCTCCACTCCGTTGATCTGCAACAGCGCCTTGCCTGCCGATTGGGCGTCGGGGTATTCGACAACGGCTCCTCCGTGCTGGGGGTGAAGCACGAGCTTGCTGATGGTTCCGTACGGGGCGAGCAGCGATCGGAGGCGGTCGGCCGTCATGGTATCCGGGATGCCCACGACGGCAATGGTTCGCGCGGCGATTTCGACCCGCGAGAGCCCGGACGTCAGGGGATCCGAGGGCGACCCTCCAGGCGAGGCCGGCGCTGGTGAAGTCGCTGCGCCGTCGACGGCCCGAGTCGTCGCCGTCTTTTGAGTCTTTGCCTTGGCCAGTTCCACCTTGATCGGGTTCTTGCCGAAAATTAGCTGGTTGAGTGTCTTGATGGCCTCTTGGGCCTGATCCTTGGTCTCCATGATGACGAAGGCCGTTCCCGTGCTCTTTCCGTTCTTGTCAGATAATACGCGCACACTGTCGACCTTGCCTGCCTTCTCAAACAAGGCTTTGACCTCGTCTTCTGGCATGCTGCGCGGGAGGTTGGTCACGTGAAGTTCTCGGCCCTCGGCCAGGGCACCTTCGCGAGACTTCTTTTGTGCTGGGTCCGAGACCTGAACACTAAGAGTGTATTTGCCGCCTTTTAGAGCCTTGCCGTGGAGCTCGAGGGCCTTTGCCGCCGACGCTTGCTGCCGGAAAGCGACATAACAGAAGCGGCGCTTGGTGTTATGCTTGAGACTGGGGAAACGAACATTGTGGATTTCGCCGCATTCCTTGAAGAGGCTACGTATATAATCCTCGCCGGCCTCGGGGGGGTAGTTGGTAACAAAGAGCGTGCAGTCGACAGCTGGAGTCACCTGGATCACTTGGTCCCCGAAGTACTTGCCATCCTTCAGCAAGGCAGCGCGTGCATCGTCGGCTGAGCTAAACTCTATCAGAGCGACGGCGGCGCTGTCGCCCTTTTGTAAATCAGTGCTGATAATCTGTCCATATTCGCGGAAGAAATGCTCAATCTTCTTCTTGGTCACGTCGGTAGGCAAGTTCCAAAGGTAAACTGCGGTATGCTCTCTGTCCCGCTTCACGTCAACCCCGTTGGTCTCGCTCTTTGGTCGCTTGCTGCCATTGTCCTCTTCGCCGGGTGTTGCTTCGCGCTTCCGCTTCGTCGAGCTCGGTGAGTCTCCATCGGTGGCGTCCTTCATCACGACATCTCCTGACTTGGCGGCCGCATATGCTGCTTGCTGGGCGGCCATCGTTTCGTCTTGAGCCCTCTGCGCCGCCTCCCGCTCTCTTTCGCGTCGCTTCACGACGCCCTTCCGCGTCTTGAAGATGGTGTCATGAGCCTCGCGCAAAGTCTCGGCCGTTTCGTAGTCGTTGCAATGCTTCTCGAAAACCTCCATGATGCGCTCGGGCCAGTCCATGTTTCGTTCCTTGAGGGCCCTGACAAAGACGCGAGTGGCGAATGTGGGGACTCGGAGGCCCTGCGCAAGAGTCAACGGCGTCGGGCTCCTCACCTTGTGTCCCGATGCGGCAAAGACGACCATCTCCCAGAGGTACCAACCCAGCCAGAAGTCGTAGCTGTTTTTGTGGATCGGTAGTTGAGCCAGCTCCTCCCAGATCTTTCGAGCGCCGATGATGTCGTCCTTCTTCTCGGTCAGAAACTGAATGAGAATCTTTTCGAGCCGGTAGTTGGGGTCGCCTTGATAAGTAGCTCGGTATTGTCGGTTGCCCCAGTGCTTGACATCATCGAGAGCGGTTGCGAGCCCGGCATCGGCAATGTCTACTGCCTCCTCGGTGGCATTGGGGTTCATGGCCGTTCGCTTTAGATAGCCGCACCATGCAGAGTACATGTCTAGCACGCCCTCCATGCCGTACTTGTCGAGTTGGTCGCTGTTTGTGGCGGCGTGCTTGATGCTCTCGACGGAGCCAAAGGGCAGGCCAGCCTCCTCGGCGGCGAGGATGTACCGCGCCCAGACGGGACCCGACCACGGGATGTGGCGAACAGCACGCTGTAAAACGTCGAGCATCTTCGGGACGAGGGTCTCGGGAACCTTGGAGATGCCTGCCTTGAGTTCAGTGTGGGCGGTCGAGACCAAAGTGATGAGGTTGCGCCATGCGGAATCGTCAGATGCCAGTGTTCCAGTCAGCGCTCGAGAAAAAAGACCGAGGCAGATCTGGAAGTTGATGACAAGGTCCCGCTTGGCCTTGTTATTCTTGAGCTGCAGGATCTCCCAGTCCAGATACTCCATCATGGTCCGGCGCATCGATTCAATGTCGCACGCAGCTGTGGCCTGTGATAGTTTGATTTCCCAGTGGTCTCGCAGACCGTAGAGTCGCTTCGCGTCGCGGGCGTGCCTGGTGGCCTGCTCCATCTCGTGTTCGTAGCCCTGTCTGTTGTACTCGGAGAGGAAGCCAGAGAACATCTGCGACGTGTTGTCCCACGTCGCGTGCGGGACGAGCAGCCGGTTCCTGAAGAGGTGGGTGATCCTGCGAATTCCAGCCTCGGTAGCAACGGGCTTCAGCAGCTCCATCTCGAGCGACACCCAGCGGTTGAAGAGCTCGTGGCTGTCGGACAGACGGTACTGCACGGCCTCGTAGCCCTCCTGCCAGAGCTTGAGGGCGGCGTCAAGTGTAAAGATTTCGCGGCCCATGATTTGTTCTTCGGCCGGCCACCCAGCGTCGCTGCCGGCCTGCGAGTCGGCGCGCAGGGACCAAAAGTATTCGCAGTAGGCCAGCCATATTTTCAAACTGCCCGGCTCGGCGAGGACGGCATTGCGGAAGGCCTCAATGACGCGCACTCGGCCTTCGAGGTGGGTTGCGTCTCGCCCTTGCTGGTCGACAAACTCTAGCCAGTTATCCTCCCCCACCGGACTCGCCATGTTCGCAGCGTTGTGATTAGGCAGGCCCGACTCATCGGAGGTCTGCAGTGTTGCGGACGCCGTCTTCAACTTGGAGAGGGAATCGGCGGTACGGTGCGGTGCGGTGCGGTGTGGTGCGGTGCGGTGTGGTGCGGTGCGGTGTTGTGCGGGTGAGGTGTTGTGTGGTGCGGCGGTTTCGGTGCGGTCGCAGTGCGGGTAGGAAAATTGGAGGTCTAGATGCGACGGTGGTGAAAATGGTCGCTGCCAGATGGAATGGATGCACCAGTCGGAAAGACAAAACCCGCCGGCTCAATCGGCTCTGCAAAACTCACAGGCGTCCTGACCCTTGGAGCGACAAGTGGGGTAGTTAAAAATACAGTGCACCAAAAGGCTTATCACGTCTTCCTCCTGTTGCCTTGGGCAAAACTTAATGTTGGAGAAGGGCGCCAACCTAAACCTGCAGTTGACCAATCTCGAGTCCAGATGCTATTTTTCCATGTCACCTCCGAATCCATCTCGGTTTTGGCCGAAGAAAAAGATGGAAAGCGGTGCAGAACACAATCAAGATGGCATTGTTATTTTCCAGGGCCCTGATCTCTGTCGGCCCCTTCGGAGCAGCACCCACGAATCGTAAAGCCCTGAGACCCAGTCAGATAGACCTGCCAGACACTTGGTACGAATCGTTGAGGCCATCTAGGGGCCACCTAGGGGAACAGGGCGGGACAGGTCGAGAGGATGGAAGGGAAAAGACACACACACGCACACGAACACACACACGAACACACACACACACACACACAAACAAGAATCAATTCGCCAGCCTCTGTTTTCTTGGCGGATGGCGGATATTAAGTCAACAATATAGGTAGACAGCGCCGTGCAACCCCAAATCTGGTCACCTGGAGATCCCATCCTTGCAGCACCGCAGGGAGTCCAGACCCTTGGATGCGACCCTGAAAAAAAAAAAATATGGGAAGCAGTCGTTGAGAGAGTTCATGACCGACACG